TCATCATGTTTATCATGCAAAAATTCCGCATTCTCAAACTCCACACAACATTATGTACTCGTACCTGGCAAAAAAAAAAAAAACATTTCTGGGTAACATGTTCCATTGTAATTTATGAAGAAAGAAATTACTTCGAATCGATTTTCCGAACAACTTAATTAAAAATAACCAATTTCCAAGATTTTAATTTTTTTTACGAAGTTTTCAAATACATACATATATCCCTACTAATCCCAACAACAGTTCAAATGTTGTTATTCTCTATTTTGTTACTTTCTGTGTTTTTTTGCTACCTCATAACACATTTTGTTGATTTCTAGAAAAAAAAAAACACACAAATACACACAGTCTGAAATTCCGAAATAACATCTGCCATTTGCAAAATCAAAATTTCATTAATTTTTGATTTGTTCCTTGGGCAATGAGAAGTAAATGTGGCAAGTTACACATCTCAAATTTCTTTAGTGCACCAGTTTTTTCTCGGAGTTAATTCAGTTTTTTTTTCTATTTTCTCTTTTTTGTTGTTGTTGTATTTGTTTTTACTGTAGACCAACATGATATTCATCATGTAATTTTAACAAGGCCCAAAGGTCTTGGCATCGATAGTATCACCAATATGCTATGAAAGCCAGGCATCATGTGTCCAGAACCATGGTGGCCTGGCATAACCCATCGACAACACTTGGTCGGGATTGCTAAAATGAAAAAAAAAAAATAAATGAAAAAATCACTCTCTTCCTTACACAGACACACACACACTCCACACCACACAAAGAATTTATCACATTCCGAAAATCTGTGTTAAGAGAAAACTTCACACAGCAACACAAATAGAACTACAAATTGAAATGGCAACGGCAACCGGGCAAAGCAATTCAAATGGAAATCACAAGAAGCAGCAGCAGTTGTAGCTGCCGAACAACAACCAAAAAAATAGAACAAAACCTAGGCTAACTATGAATGAAATTTTTCGAGCCTAACCAACATAAATAACTGCTGGAGTTTTACACATTTTCCACAGTCGAAAGGAGAAAAACAACAACAACATACACAAAAAAGCAACCGAATAACAAACATCATGGCTAAAAACCAAACTGAACCTACGTTATTGCTATGTTTGTCTGTTTGTGTCTGTGCAATCTCGCAAAACCCTAGCAACGAACCAACCAAATAACCAGGCTGGTAGGCAACCAAAATCCTAGTAGCAGCAGTCCAATTTCATCAGTTCATCTAGAAATGTACATATGTTGCATTCACCGAAACTATTTTATGGTCACAAAATAACATTTATACAGCTGTGCTATTCACGCAAAATCGCCTCAATTCTTTTTTGTCTGCCTGCCTGCCTGCTATCGTTGAAATTCTGATGTTTTCTCCAGTCTCTCCGCTTTTTTTATTTCAGAATTTGAAGTGCAAAACAATTGATTTGATGGACTAGTTTTTGTTGCACAAACATATATATCGTTGTTACATCATTTTAAGTCCTTTATTTTTTTCGACATCAGAGAGTTAATTTAAGTTATGTTATAGCAAGGACCAGTAACATGTGAGGAGATCCTTTATATGTCAATAAGGAATAAACTCTGTTGAATATCGATTTCGATTCATTCTGCAGCTTCCATTGAGGTTGTTGAGAGTTAGTTTCTACGATATAACCATAACACCCCAGGTGGGGCTGCACTTGGGATTCTGTGGATAAGACTGGACTGAGTCCAACATCGTACAACGCACAGAACGTACATCGTGCGAAATTATAAGAAGTGACTATGTTGTCCGAAACAAACATGCAATAGCCCAAGAACGAACCATATGATATGTTTGCACAGTCTTTTGTAAGGGGTACATTAAATTTGCTTGTGGCAAATTGGGTTACGGAATGATATCTCCACTGTAACCTAACACAGTGCCTATTTTCTATTCCAAGAATTAGCTCAGTAAAAAAACCAGCATGTCAGAGTCAAAAGTCGGACGGGCCGACTATATGATACCCTTCACCACTTATTTTTTTAAACTACATTAATTGATATAAAAACCATAACACATTTCATCTGTAAAGTATTTGGTTGAGTGTATCGACCATATCCGGCCAAGAGAACACACATAGCTTCCTTGGAGGATCATTAACATGAAATCGGACTGAATTAAATAAAGAATAAATTGATATCCATAGAGTGTCTTAGGAAAAACAAGTGAAAGACAGTAAGGAAAGTAGTTAAGTCGCACTGGACCGACTATATGAGACCCTTTACTACTTTGGGTATATTCAAGAGACGTATCCTAACAGACCTCATATTTTTGTGCCAATCGGCTTAAATTTGACTCTTTTGTGCACAATTTACTAAAAATCGGACTAAAATATTTCAATAAAACTTGGCACACGTTAGGCTATCCTAACTTCAGTACGTTGTACAAAATTGTATACCAATCACCCTGAATTTGACTCTTTGGTACACAAATATATATGAAAACCAGTGAGCGGAGCTGTATAGTCGGACCGGGCCGACCATATGATACCCTACACAACTACTACGTAACTGTAACATTCTGCGGATGCATATACCAAGCGTGGGCAATATTTCTTGATATCTACACCCTGTTGCCCGATTAGAGGTTAACAGCACCTCTTCCTTACACTGACGTATTTTCTGTACTCTGTACAATCCTTCTTATTATTTATCCAGATTCCCTTCGCGGTGGGTTGTGATGTTCGACTTATAAATGTGGCCTATAGATCGACTCGAAAAACCACAAAAAATTAAGTTTTTGGTCCACTTCATCCCAAAATTTTGTAATTTTTCGCACAAAAGTCAGGGCCCATTTGACCCACTAAATATTGACCAATCTTTATCAAAACAGGCATGCTTATTGTTTGGTCCGATCCCCTTCTCCATGTAAAAATTCGCGATGTTTGGGCAATAATTGTGGCCTCTGCAGCGACCCGAAAATCAGGCAAAAATAAAGTGTTTGGTCCATTTCACCCCCTAAATATTAACCGATCTTTACCAAAAACAATGGAAGTCTTCATTGGCCAGACCCTATCCTACATGCAAAATTTCGTGAAGATTGGTCCATAACTGTGACTGTATCGTGTTTACAAATTATAATGGACAGACGGACGGACACACATGTCTAGATCGACTCAGATAGTCGAGATATGACGATCGGTATACTTAAAGGTGGGTCTAGGACCAATATTTCACGGCGTTACAAACTCTTGGGGCTGCACAAAGCTATAATACCCTAACAACATAGTTGTGTAGGGCATAAAAACTTGGTACACGTTAGGCTATCCTAACTTCAGTATGCTGTGAAAAATTTCGTGCTAATTGGCATTAATTTGACAATCCTACGTGCAATATTTTCGACTGCAAAATGTCTGATGGCCAGTAAAAGTTTCTGCCACACATCAGCATTTTTCATGCTTTTTTCACACTAAAGTGCTGTATAACTTAGTGTTCTGAATTAAAAAAAAAAATTAATACTTCAAACGAACCGAAGGCTGATCAAAAAATGTTTACCACGGTAAATGTTTTAATTACGTCGATTTTTCCGAAAACTGCTAGACATCATTCTAGACCAAACTAAGTACGCCATGCCAAATTTCGTGCAATTCGAGAGAAATGTATGGACTTTCGTACACCATTTACATAAAATCGGACAAAAATATATATGGGAGCTACATATATCTAAATCTGAACCGATTATCACGAAACTTAGCAGACATCATTCTAGATCCAATGTGTCAAATTTCGTGCAAATCGAAAGATATATAAGGACATTGGTATTCCATTTACATTAAATCGGACAAAAATATATATGGGAACTATATCTAAATCTGAACCGAGTTTTCCCAATTTCAATAGGATTCGTCCTTGGGCCAAACAAATGAACTGTGCCAAATTTCATCCAATTCGGATAATAAATGCGACCTGTACTTTGTTCACCAATAAACATGGACAGACAGACGGACGGACGGACATGCATGAATCGACTCAGAAAGTGATTCTGTGCATATGCTCAAAGTAACCATGTGTGCATATCCTTTCCTTTTGCCTGTTACAAACATATGCTCAAAGACATAATACCCTGTACCACATTGTGGTGAATGATATAAATATATAAATAGGCGGTATATCTAAATCCGAACTGATTTCAATAAAACTTCGCACACAATATTTCAAACTCAGTTTAATTGATTGATGCCCCAATTACATAAAGTCGGACAAAAATATATCAGTGGTATATCTAATATGAACCGATTCATACGCAGTGCGCAGTGCAAAATTGGTCTTAATTAGACAAAAGTTGGGACTTGGTCGAACTATTGTGGAATCGGATAAACCGACATATGAGAGCTATATCTAAAGCTTAACCGGTTTTCTCTAAATTCAATAGGATTCGTCCTTGGGCCAAATAAGTGGCATCTTCAAAATTTAATTCAGACAGACGGACATGCATGCGTGCGACCCAGAAAGTGATTCTATGCATATTCTCAAAAGGAACCATGGGTCTGTTACAAAGATATGCACAAATACATAAATAATACTCTGCACTACAGTCTGATGGAGGATATACAAATACCAGAATACAACAAAAAATTTCACTAAAAAATTAGAATACCGAAAATGCGTTGAACTTTTATATGTAGACTAAGCCGATATATCCAATTTCTAATACAAAACACCCTAGAATCAGTAGCATAACATGTTAAAGGCTCTGTTTTAAATATTCGGACCTCTATCGTGTTCTTAACAACTTTACTGCAATTATCTACAAACAATGCATTTTCCCTTCCCATCTCTTTAATTACATTACCCACACACATACAATTCCATTACGATGTATAAAATGTATATTTTTCTGACATTGCTTGTAGCATTAAATTTATATAAAATAATTTATAAGAATATGTCGCTTGTTTTCAACAGCCATGTTTTAATTTGTTCTTTCTCTGTTTTCTGTTTTATTCATGCTTTTATTTATTTATTTATTTTTTACAGACGTATGTAAATGGTTTACGCTTTGTCTTGACCATCTTGGGTGGAGCCATTGCTGTAATGGGCAGTAAAGCTATCAAGTATCCATCAGCAGGCGCCTTAGGCTGTGTAACAGTTGCCTTTGTAGCTGGCATCGGATGGAAGCGTCAACAAGCCAAAATGACGCCACAACAGCGACAGACATATGAAAATGTAAGTTTATGAAGAGAGCAATAAGAATCAGTGTCGTGTTTGTATGTCTCTTTGTTTCAGTTTTATTAACTCTTTTTCGTTTTTGTTATTGACTACAATTTTATAGTAACATATTGTGCGTCGGCCTTTTTTCAATCTACTTGGTGATAGTTGTTGTTGTTGTAGGGAAATTAAATTATCGTAAAACTTAAATGGAAACATATGGGATTTTTAAACAATATTTCGAACAACTGGTCAATAGACTTTTTAAGAATTTTGTCAATCAACCATTGACCCATAGGCGTGAATATTTTAAATAATTTTTTTCAAGCATCTATTAACCCATAGGCGTGGATTTGAAAAAAAAATCAAGCATCTATTAACCCATAGGCGTGGATTTTTTAAATAATTTTTTTCAAGCATCTATTAACCCATAGGCGTGGATTTTTTAAATAATTTTTTTCAAGCATCTATTAACCCATAGGCGTGGATTTTTTTAAATATTTTTTTTTTTCAAGCATCTATTAACCCATAGGCGTGGATTTTTTAAATAATTTTTTTTCAAGCATCTATTAACCCATAGGCGTGGATTTTTTAAATAATTTTATTCAAGCATCTATTAACCCATAGGCGTGGATTTGAAAAAAAATCAAGCATCTATTAACCCATAGGCGTGAATATTTTAAATAATTTTTTTCAAGCATCTATTAACCCATAGGCGTGGATTTGAAAAAAAAATCAAGCATCTATTAACCCATAGGCGTGGATTTTTTAAATAATTTTTTTCAAGCATCTATTAACCCATAGGCGTGGATTTTTTAAATAATTTTTTTCAAGCATCTATTAACCTATAGGCGTGGATTTTTTAAATAATTTTTTTCAAGCATCTATTAACCCATAGGCGTGGATTTTTTAAATAATTTTTTTTCAAGCATCTATTAACCCATAGGCGTGGATTTTTTAAATAATTTTATTCAAGCATCTATTAACCCATAGGCGTGGATGTTTTAAATAATTTTATTCAAGCATCTATTAACCCATAGGCGTGGATGTTTTAAATAATTTTTTTCAAGCATCTATTAACCCATAGGCGTGGATTTTTTAAATAATTTTATTCAAGCATCTATTAACCCTTAGGCGTGGATTTTTTAAATAATTTTTTTCAAGCATCTATTAACCCATAGGCGTGGATTTTTTAAATAATTTTTTTCAAGCATCTATTAACCCATAGGCGTGGATTTTTTAAATAATTTTTTTCAAGCATCTATTAACCCATAGGCGTGGATTTTTTAAATAATTTTTTTCAAGCATCTATTAACCCATAGGCGTGGATTTTTTAAATAATTTTATTCAAGCATCTATTAACCCATAGGCGTGGATTTTTTAAATAATTTTTTTCAAGCATCTATTAACCCATAGGCGTGGATTTTTTAAATAATTTTTTTCAAGCATCTATTAACCCATAGGCGTGGATTTTTTAAATAATTTTTTTCAAGCATCTATTAACCCATAGGCGTGGATTTTTTAAATAATTTTTTTCAAGCATCTATTAACCCATAGGCGTGGATTTTTTAAATAATTTTTTTCAAGCATCTATTAACCCATAGGCGTGGATTTTTTAAATAATTTTTTTCAAGCATCTATTAACCCATAGGCGTGGATTTTTTAAATAATTTTTTTCAAGCATCTATTAACCCATAGGCGTGGATTTTTTAAATAATTTTTTTCAAGCATCTATTAACCCATAGGCGTGGATTTTTTAAATAATTTTTTTCAAGCATCTATTAACCCATAGGCGTGGATTTTTTAAATAATTTTTTTCAAGCATCTATTAACCCATAGGCGTGGATTTTTTAAATAATTTTTTTCAAGCATCTATTAACCAATAGGCGTGGATTTTTTAAATAATTTTTTTCAAGCATCTATTAACCCATAGGCGTGGATTTTTTAAATAATTTTTTTCAAGCATCTATTAACCCATAGGCGTGGATTTTTTAAATAATTTTTTTCAAGCATCTATTAACCCATAGGCGTGGATTTTTTAAATAATTTTTTTCAAGCATCTATTAACCCATAGGCGTGGATTTTTTAAATAATTTTTTTCAAGCATCTATTAACCCATAGGCGTGGATTTTTTAAATAATTTTTTTCAAGCATCTATTAACCCATAGGCGTGGATTTTTTAAATAATTTTATTCAAGCATCTATTAACCCATAGGCGTGGATTTTTTAAATAATTTTTTTCAAGCATCTATTAACCCATAGGCGTGGATTTTTTAAATAATTTTTTTCAAGCATCTATTAACCCATAGGCGTGGATTTTTTAAATAATTTTTTTCAAGCATCTATTAACCCATAGGCGTGGATTTTTTAAATAATTTTATTCAAGCATCTATTAACCCATAGGCGTGGATTTTTTAAATAATTTTTTTCAAGCATCTATTAACCCATAGGCGTGGATTTTTTAAATAATTTTTTTCAAGCATCTATTAACCCATAGGCGTGGAGTTTTTAAATAATTTTTTTCAAGCATCTATTAACCCATAGGCGTGGAGTTTTTAAATAATTTTTTTCAAGCATTTATTAACCCATAGGCGTGGAGTTTTTAAATAATTTTTTTCAAGCATCTATTAACCCATAGGCGTGGATTTTTTAAATATTTTTTGTTTTCAAGCATCTATTAACTCATTGGCGTGGATTTTTTAAATATTTTTTGTTTTCAAGCATCTATTAACTCATTGGCGTGGATTTTTTAAATATTTTTTGTTTTCAAGCATCTATTAACTCATTGGCGTGGATTTTTTAAATATTTTTTGTTTTCAAGCATCTATTAACTCATTGGCGTGGATTTTTTAAATATTTTTTGTTTTCAAGCATCTATTAACTCATTGGCGTGGATTTTTTAAAAAATTGTTTTCAAGCATCTATTAACCCATTGGCGTGGATTTTTTAGAGAGTTCACTATGGTTTCATCGATTTTTTAAATGTATCCATCAGTATGACCTAGATTATCTAATCAAATTCAACATAACTTCAACATGCCTTGATGAACGTTTTTTATTAAAATCTAAATTTTAAACTTAAATTTAATTTCCCTCCTTTTTTGTTGTTATTCATTCAACAAACCACAAAACTAGTTCCATCTTCTGCTGTGTAGACGCTTAAGCAAAACACTAGAAAAATTCAATAAACATTAACAAATTAAATGCCTCTGGGCACAAAGTGAACGGATTAGGGGTTTTGCAAATTTTATTGGTGAAATTAAATTTGTTTTTGTGAGTCGGGTATTGGTCACTCGTCCGTTCGGTCGGTTGGTTGTCTAAGCACAAAACAAAAATTCTGTTCATCCCAATGCTTTGAGAGGAATGTTGTATTGCATTTTGTTGTTGTTATTGTTGCTGTTAAGCCATGCATCAGCATCATCAGTTTGTTTAGACAACAAAACTAAACGTTATAGTTTAAAAGTTAAAAGCATATTTTGGGTTAACATGTAAAATCGAAATTGTTCTAAAAGCAAACAATATTGAAATTAACTTTTAATTGACTTTACGAATAGAATTAGTTTTTTTATTTTTGGAAATTTATCGTAAATTAAATTTATATTTATAAAAAAAATGGAAAGTTGTGATGGGAGTAAATAAATAGATTGTAAAATGCAAAG